AAATATTTTATTATTTTTACTTTATGTGTATGAGTGTATTGCCTGCATGTAACCTGTGTTGTACAGTGCCCTTGGAGGTCAAAAGAGGGTGTCAAATACCCTGGAATTGGAGTTATAGATGGTTGTTAGCTGCCAGGTGGGTGCTGGGAATCAAAGCCAGGTCCTCTGCAAGAGCAGCCAGTGCTCTTAACCACTGAGTCATCTCTCTAGTCTCCCCCATTTTTTTGAGACAGGGTTTTACTCTGTAAGCCCAGGCTGTCCTCACACTTATGGTGCTCCTTCTGCCTCAGCCTCTTCAGTGCTGGATTACGGGTATGAGCCACCACGCTGTGCTAACAAAAATTTAAAGAGGAAAAAACAGTATGAAGCACTTATCTATATAGAGAAACACTATTTGGGGCCAGGATATATTTGTGTGTGTGTGTGTGTGTGTGTGTGTGTGTGTGTGTGTGTGTGCACGTGCTTAAACAAACTAGAATTTATTCTGTCTTTTTACAAACAACATATAAAACAACACACAATAAGGGGAAGGGAAGGCAAAAGGAAGGAAAGGACTGGATTCTGGGATAAAATGATTGTCTATAGTCTTTTCATTCTAACCCTGCTATACAGATTTAGACACTCAATGTCACAGAACAGACTAATACAGCTAATGAAATCATCATATTTCACTCTTCTAGGCACGAGGGATTAGAGTAGAAAGACCAAAAGCTTGTGAGACATGACTATTAAATAGCTGGGTAAGAGCCTTCAGTCAGCCTTTCTGGGAACTGTGCACATCTTTTCTGTTCAGTAGTCTTTGATCATAACTATCCTTTATGGTCACACCTGACCATAAAGGAGATTGGAAAATATAGCTTAAGAACATACACCAGTGGGGCTGGAGAGATGGTTCAGCAGTTAAGAGCACCCACATGATGGCTAACAACTGTCCATAACTCCAGTTCCAGGGGAATTCAACATTCTCATCTGACCTCCACGTTATGTACTACATGACACGGGTGCACTTAACATGTATGCAGACAATACACTGATACACATAAAAATATAAATATTTTTAAAAAAAGAATGTACACAGGTTAAAAACTGGCACTCTGTTATAAAACAAATAGAAAATTGACTGAAATTATGAGTTCTTCTGTCTGTCCTTTGCTGGCCCACAGGCATACACATTCTTATTTCTGTGCAGACAGTACGTTTTGCTTCTCACTCTGACAGGTTCTCTTTGACATACTCATTCATTTCACATTGATGGACAAGGGAAAATAGGTCATTATTCCTTCTAAATGTGGAATCATACTGTATTCCATAAATATATGTACTTGTCCATATCAATTTAAAAATAAACCAATAAAAACTTCTACAAGATATGGAGAAAAATAAATAATCAAGGTTCCTGGCCAAGAACAGTACTTAACCAAATGTTAGTTACTTGTTAGCCTTTAGCATTTCACTTTAGTGCTGGCATTACAGGTGTGCACCACAATATTTGGCCTTTCAGAACCAATATTTAAGACGATTTCATGGTGATTTATTTGCATCTTAAAGTTTAAGCAGCACTGTTCTTGGGTGGAACCCTCAGTATTTTTCAAAGTTCTCCTAGTATGAGGGGCTGGAGAGATGGCTCAGTGGTTAAAAGCACGGGTTGCTCTTACAGAGCCCGCGGTTTGGTTACTAGGACCTACATGGTGGCTAACAATCGTCTATAACTCCAGTTCTAGGGAATCCAATGTCTTCTTTTGATCTCTGCAGGCATTGTACACATGTGGTATTCTTACATATATACAGGCAAAGCACTCATACACATAAAAAATTAAAAAAAAAATAAATTGGCCCCCTTCAAAAAAAAATCTTAAAAAAAAAAAGTTCTCCCAGTATGAGAATCACTGTCTAATAAGAAAACTTTTTTTTTTTTTTTTTTTGGTGGTGGTGGGGATCAAATCCAGGACTTAACACACAGAGTATAGCTCAGTGGTAGAGCACTTACCTAAGAGCTACTGATAGCCAGGTGTGGTAGCAAGCCTTTAATCCCAGCACTAGGGAGGCAGAGGCAGGCAGATCTCTCGGAGATTGAAGAGTCTGGTCTATAGTGAGCTCCAGGCCAGTGGGGGTGTTCTCTCTCATTCTTCACCTTTTACTTTGAGACAAGGTCTCTCACTGAACTTGGAGCTTTTGTGTCCTCCCCACACCCCCTTGAGGCTGACAAGGCAGTAAGCCCCAGCAATCCTGCTTGCCTCTGAATACCCTCAGTGCTGGGATGAGAGCTGTGTGTGGCCATGCTTGGCTTTTTACATGGGTGCTGGGATCTGAACTCAGGTTCTCTTGCTTGCACAGCATGTGCTCTTAGCCAACAAGCCATCTCCCTGGCCCTGTTTTTGTTTTTAAATTTATTTTTATTTTATGTGTATGAGTGTTTTGCCTGTATGTATGTAAATGCACCTGTGCATGTAATGCCTGTGGAGACCAGAAGAGGGCACCGGATCCCACGGAACTGGAGTTAACAGTTGTCAGCTACCATGTGGGAACCAAACCTGGGTCCTCTGCAAGAGCAGCCAATGCTCTTAACTGCTGAGCCATCCTTCCAGCCTCCTGTTACTTTTTTGAGACAGGGTCTAACTCTGTAGCCCTGGCTAGCCTGAAATTTACTAATACAGGCCAGGTTGGCTTTGAGCTCAGGCAATCAACCTACCACAACTTCTGGGATTATAGAAGAGAGCCACCACACCATGCTGTAAAACATCTGCTCTGCATTCAAATGTGCTACAATAATTTTTCTGCGTTTGAAGCTACAAACGCTTGCTAACTGGAAAGTTCACTTTAATAACAACACTGAAGAAAAAGATTTCACTACATATTAGAAGACAGAAAGAGATAAAAGTTTTCTATCCTCAACTGAATATTGGTGAGCTTTTGAAAGTTAAACTATTGGCTGGGCCTGGTGGTGCACGCCTTTAGTCCCAGCACTTGAGAGGCAGAGGCAGGTGGATCGCTGGGAGTTCAAGGCCAGCCTGATCTACATAGTGAGTTCAGGTCACTCTTGAGGATGTGGGTGTTATCTCAGAAGTAAAGTGGTTGCCTAGCATTTGTGAAGCATGGAGGTTGAAGCCACAGTATTGAAAACAAAATAGAACAGAACAAAACCAATACTCTTGGCTGTGAGAATTCATTATTTTTTTCTCAAAGAGAAAAAAGCCATTTAATTGTGGTTTTCCTGGCTACAATCATAGTTCTTGAGTATATGATACGGGACTCTGAAGACTACTACCATGAATACATAATAGGAGCTAGGTATTATAAGCAGATGTCTACATTTATTTTAAGACATGGTCTCTTGTAGCCTTGACTGGCCTCTAATGTATCATGTAGCCAAGGACAGCCTTTAACTTCTGATTCTCCAGCCTCTACCTCTGGAGTGCTGGAACTACAGGCGTGCACCACTACACTTAGCTTTACATGGTGCTAGGGGCAGAACCCGGGACATGGTGTATGCTAGGCAAGCATAATACCACTGAGTCACATCTCCAGTCCTGATGTTAGCATGTTTTAACTCAGTTACTGTTACTGAGGAGGTAGGCATTATTTTATTACCCATCTACTAACAATGAAATGAGATATGGAAAAGTTAAAATACTGAAAGACAGTCTCAGGGAGGAAGGGATGGCACTTGAGCCCATGTCTTCTCTGATTCTGCCATTAGTTCAATAAAGAAAGTATGCTATCAAGGTAGCAACATTTTAGCAAATGGCAAATTTTTGAAAAATAAAAGTTTAAAAAAAAACAATATAACTAATCAATTTTTACTGTACAAAGGTAGATAGAAGATTAAAATGGATAAAATAGGTTAAGTCAACTACAGAAGTTTGCTGCTTTGAAGAAATAAAATTTTTAAAAAAATGAGATTTCAAAACTTATTAAGAGCTGGGCTGGGGTGATGCCTTGGTGATCTAGTACTTGCTACATCTCATAAGGACCTGAGTTGAGATCACCAGCACCCATGTAAAAGCTGGGTGTAATAGCACATGTCTGTAACCCCAGTGTTGTGTGTGTGTGTGGGGGTTAGGATAGAGAAAGGTGAATCCTGGGGGGACTCATGGTCAGTCAGTCTACCTGAAATGACAAGTTTCATTTCAATGAGACACTTTGTTTCAAAAAATTATTTATTTTTATTTTATGTGTATGAATGTTTTGCTTACATAAGTGTGCCTGTGTTCTGCAGTGCTGGAGGAAGCCACAAGAGGATGTTGGACCCTCTGGAACTGGAGGTAAGAACGGTTGTTAGCCACCATGTGGGTCCTGGGAACCAAACCCAGGTCCTCTACGAGAGTAGTCAGTGCTCTTAATTGCTGAGCTTTCTCCCCAGCCCCCAAAAGTAAGTCTTAGAAAAATCAAATTGCTGAGCTCAGTGAGTTCCAGGCCAGCTGGGGCTACAGGGAGACCCTGTTTCAAAAAGACCAAAAAAAGAAAAATCAGATTTCTATGTTGTGTAAAAACATGAACAGAATTATGTCCTTTTTCTTTTTGGAGACAGGGTCTTATGATAAATGGGCTGGCCTTGAACGTCAGACACAGTTCAAAAGAACTCTGAACTTCCAATTCTCCTCCTTCTACTTTCCAAGTGCTGGGATTATTTGATTATAATGGTGTCTCCCCTCCCCCTCCCACCCCTGCCCCATGTCCAGCTTATGAACTATGTCTTTTTTTTGGTCAAGATTTTATTCTTATTTTATGTGTATGAGTGCCTTGCCAGCAAGTAAGTGTACCATGTATGTGCCTGGTACCCACAGAGGCCAGAAGAGGGTGTCAGATCACCCAGAACTGGAACATGGTCAACACCAGGGTCATACCCTTGAAGAAAATGGACTCTCCCTCCCCTAGCAGTTTCCTAGGCAGTAGTTCCTCAGCTAGAGGTAGAACTTCATGCCGACACCCCTCCATCATGCTGGGATTTTTATCTGACTTGAGCTTACCCAAATAAATAATATATAAATAAATAAAATTTTAAAATAATTTTAAAGGCATAGTTCATGAGACTGGAGAGATGGATCAGCAGTTAAGAGCACTTCCTGCTCTTGCAGAGGACCTGGGTTTGATTCCCAGCACCCACATGTCAGCTAACACCAGTCCTTCACTCCAGGACCTCACTATTCAGCCCTGGCTGGTCTGAAACTCTCTATGTAGATGAGGCTGGCCTGGAACTCTGAGAGATTCTCCTGCCTATGCCCCTTGAGTACTGAGATTAAAGGTATATGCCACAATGCCTGGCACAAAATATTAGTTCTCAAAATTAGAACTATTACAAAGAAATAAACTTTAAGTTTTATACATTTTATATAATGAATATATTTATAGCAGTTGATATAAATTTCCTAATGATCACCGGAAAAGTCAAGGTTTTTTTAAATCAGGATTATTCAATGTTAATTAGAATCATTAATACATATATTAGTTGGCTGAAACATAAATAAATGATAATATATAGCCCATTTAACTTCAGCTGTCATCAATAACTTGGTTAAAGTTAGTACCTTGCACTTTTCAACTTCTTCCTCAATTTTCTCAACAATAGCTGTATCCAGGATTTGTAAATCACAAGAAGAACGAGACAGAGTGCTGACAGGATGTCCTTTCAGCCAAGTAATAATTTCTTGAACTTTCTCAGCACTACAGTAAAAACAGTAATAATTTTTTATATTAATTAAAACATTCTGAGAACTGCAAATTATAAATTATTTCCCTTAAGTTCTCTAATCAAAAGTAAAATAATGTAAAATAAAGTTCTTGATAAATTAGCTGAACTTTTAATGGAAGCAGGAAGTTGAATATGAGGAAATAAATACCACAAATCTTGCTTACCCATTCTCATTTTCTCCAGGCCAAATGTCATCTTCATAGAACACATCCTCTTGGCTATTCTTGGCTACATAGCTAAACAGTTCTGGAACTCTGGCCAACAAATGAAAACATTGTCTTAAAACATATTATTAGCTTCACATAAGCATCCTAGTAAATGATTTGGGATTCAATAGGGGACATGTGAAGTATATTGAGGATTTACAGTACTATTAAGGGACAGTATTAATAAGGAATAGAAACAGAAAGGTTTGATAGCTAGAGTATTCCTGTAACTTCAACAAAATCTCCATTGACTGAGGGAGAAACATTCTAATTCTTAAATAGGAAAAAACTTAGTTATGACTGATTCTTCTGTGATTAAAATGTGAGGAATCAGATGCATAAAAATAGTATCTGGAAGTTCGGTTTTTGAAACAAGTCTTGCTTGAAACTAGCCCAGACTATTTTCAGACTTGCAATCCTCCTGCTGTAGCTTTCTAAGTGCTGGTATAATAGGTATGCCAACACTGTATCTGGTTTTGTAAGATTATTTTCTTTTTTCTTTTTTTTTTTGGTCTTTTTTGAGATAGGGTCTCCCTGTAGCCCCAGCTGGCTTAGAACTCACTATATAGACCAGGATGGCATTGAACTCACATTGATCCACCTGCCTCTGCCTTCCAAGTGCTGGGATTAAAGGCGTGAGCCACCACGCCCAGCTTGTAAATTTATTTTCTAATTTTATAACAAAGCTGGAACATTTCAAAATTAAAAATTAATTTTTTCTAATATTCTTCAAAATTATATTTCTTTTGGAATCACGTAGGACTTTCAGGCACATACAAGCATATTAAACACATCTTTGGTCCTTCCGCAATCCATTACTATAATAATAATAAAGTAGAAAAACAGACAGAGACCAAGAAAGAAAACTGAAGAGAGACATAGGGTATGAGATGGCATATGAGCTGAGAACAAATTTGGGGAATTAGAAACTGGACAGATGTTGTTTAGCTGACTTGATGGACAGGAATAAGTGGGATAACCAAATTGGGCAAGTCCACAAAAAGCAAGCACAAACTGCACAAAAAGGGCCAAAATACTTCTGCCTTTATGTTTTATAAACTGTGCTATAAGGCAAACTTCCTATTCCCAATCGAAGGTCTCCCAACTGTAAACTGTCCTTCTGTGTGTACAATAAACATATAGAATTAAAAAAAGAAAGGAGGGGCTGGAGAGATGGCTCAGCAGTTAAGAACACTGACTGTTCTTGCAGAAGACCCAGGTTTGAATCCCAGCATCCACATGGCAGGTAACAACTGTCTATAACTCCAGTCCCAGGGGATCCGACAGCCTCTTCTGTCCTCTGTGAGCATTGCACGACACATGTGCACTTACCTACAGGCAGGAAATACACACATACACATAAAATAAAAATAATATATAAATTTTTTTAAAAAAGTTTTAAAAAAAGAAAACAGAAAAGGTGTAACTGTACTTAAATCAGAACTCTGCAAAACTTTAGAAATTATGGTCTTTAGGTACATTTGCAGGTTATACATAGAATAGATTTAGTAGGATTTAGGTTGAAAATGTATATACCAAGTAGCTGGACAATCAGTTGCTTACTTGCCTACACCCCAGCATGATACCTACAGTTATATTTTAGAAAGGTCAACCAGAGATACCCTAGCTTTGGCTATACCAAAGAAAGAGCTGCAGGGGAAAGGGATGGTGCAAGGAGGAGAGGACAGGTGCTGCACTGCAAGTGTAGCTATTGTATATGTCAGTTACATAACATCTCCAGGAAGCAGACTGAGCATACAAGCAGGCAGGAAGTTTAGTAGGGAGCACTGTGGAATCAACACTTGTGGAAAGGGAAAAGAAAACAGAGAAGCAGAACTGGGCACTGGAGACAGGATAAAGTTGAGTTGTGATTCATTTTCAATGAGTTTCCTAGCCAATCCCACAAAGATCTAACAAAGACGCTCCTTCACATTGGTCCTAAACTGGAGCAACTAAGTTGCTTCTGCCTTTATACCTCCACATGGATCAGGCCCTGTGTTGTACAAAGGGGATGTAACTTTAGGTGAAGTAGTTTTCTTTATTCAGGCAATTCCTGAAGTAGGTGTGAAGTTGAGGGATGTCAGCAGCAATATTGTTATCAGGGGAAAAGGTCCTTCAGTTCTAAGGAAGTTTTGGGGGGATGGGTAGGAAGTAATCACACAATCCATGGGGTAATGAAACCCATTTTACTGGTTAATTTCCAGAATATTAGCAGTTTTGTTCCTACATCCTTTATGCAAGAAAAGGCTGGAAGACACCTCTCTAGGAAAATTTCTCCTGTTAGAGAGAAGATATTCATACAGGGTAATGATACCAGAAGGTGATAAGCTCCACCCAGTGAACCTAAATTCCTAATTGGCTTTTTGGTGCACCACTGTTAAATACAACCAGACACCAAAGAGTCACCAAACATGTAGAAGATAAAAATCTTTAACATAAAAGGGGACAAGAAATCAGAGGAGAAAAAGCAATTTTGAAAAAAGGAAATAAAAAGAAGACATTTGGGTGGCTTAGACCCTCCTCATACTAGCTTAAGAAGCTGACACCTGGCCTCTGCAGGCACCTGCGCACATGTGGCACACCCAGACAAAGACACACAAATACACATAAATTAAAAACTAATAATAGCTCTGCTTCCCTGGGCCTGCAGGATCCGCAGGCCTCTCTCCAGGGTAAGCCCATCGCACCCTCCACCCCTTGACTCCCCCAGCCTCATTCACCCTCCCATCTCCCCTGCTAGTCTCTCCTCCTAGCCTGGGTCCTGCTCCATTCCTTGTCTTGGTGCCCCAGACACCTGGGGAAACACCACTGCTTCCTGATCCTTTGCATCCAGACCAACTCAGTGCCTTCATGGGTCCCCCTCACTTTCCTCTACTTCCCTGGGCCTGTACCACCTGCCAGCCTCTTTCCTGGACGCCAGGGATGACCTTTTCTATTCCTGATCCTGTGCATCCAGACCAACCCAGCTCCTCAGTGCAGTCCCCAGGAGCCGTTGGGGCCACTTCCCGCACCCATGTGCCTTTGCATCTCTGGGTGGCACAGCCACCAGCTGGCCTAGACCAGCATTTTTCCTGGGCCCGGCTCACAGGCCAGTCCAACCCCCAAATTCCTGAAGTCAAAATCTTTCCTGGAGGGATCTAAACCTTAAGAAAAAGCCAGACCAACCCAGCTCCTCAGTGCAGTCCCCAGGAGCCGTTGGGGCCACTTCCCGCACCCATGTGCCTTTGCATCTCTGGGTGGCACAGCCACCAGCTGGCCTAGACCAGCATTTTTCCTGGGCCCGGCTCACAGGCCAGTCCAACCCCCAAATTCCTGAAGTCAAAATCTTTCCTGGAGGGATCTAAACCTTAAGAAAAAGCCTGAGAGCATCTGATCCTTATCTGACTTGGTCTTTGTGGGAACTCCTGAGCCAGAAGACAATATCAATTTGGCCCCTCCAATATAAAATCAAGAAAGATCCTGAAGCTCCTAGACAAATAAGCATTTCATGCCCAACAAGTAAACCACAAAGGCACATAAAGTTTACAAAAAGAAGCAGACCTAAACTCAACAAAGGAAGGCTTGAGTCT